ACACATAAAAGTGTTTTTATGTGTTATTTTCGGTGTTTAACAAACCAGAATTATGCCACATCATTACAACTGTATCAAGAGCTGTATAAATATTTGAATCTACGAAGTCACTGAGATTTTGATATCAGCATAAACCTCGGTCATTCTGATTGATTCTGATCTGATTGGAGTTATGCGTTTCTTATTTTTGATAAAATCGTTACAATTCAGTTTTAACCCCCATTAAATTGCAATCACTGGGATTGACTATCCTTGTTTCCTTCGCAAGTTATTCTAATAAACAGTGAATCGGGGCTAGTTTCTTCCGATGCCATAAAGATTTTTCAGTCGCCATAGATCGGGGTATTCATTTCAGTATATCAGGATTGTGACCCCCCCCCTGTTTATAATCAACAGATGTCAAGATTCAGTGGAAATCGGAAAAGGCAGTGAGATTGAAGTGAAAGCATGACCTATTATAGCCTTTGATCAAGGCGCTCGCGGCGAAATGGATAGTCGCTCGAAAGCGAGGATCGGAGCTAGAGGAGACTAGTTTAAGCACCAAACCAACGCACGAAGAAAGACTACACGACGAACAGCACGTGCATGCGCATAGCCGAACTAAGCGTGTCGTGGACTGTGCGCGCCCCCAGGCGTGCCTGCAGGTTGTCGTGTAGTCTTTGTTCGTGCGCTGGTTTGGTTCTTAAACCAGTTTCCTCTAGCTCCTCGCTCTTGAGCGCCGATCCATTTCGCCGCGGGCATCTTGATCAAAGGCTAGACCTATTATTATTCATTCACCAACCCACCGACTCCTTGGGTTTAGAATGATCCAAACGAAACCGAAAACCGGCATAATCCAAACCGACAAAACCGTAATAAACTCAATCTAATCTCAATCCAACCAATCTCAGATAAAATATTTAGGAATCGAGCTAGACAATGTTCGGGGACAAAAATTAAAGTATTGTTCTGAGGAATTTGTGATGCATGTCTTCAGGGTTCGGGAACTGATTAAAGTAATCAACTCAGGAAAAACTCAACTGCACACAATGCAGGCTCGACGTGCACAATGGTTATGTTTTATTGTAAAAAATAACGATAAATCTCAAGCAATGACAATCAATCAAAATATGATTTAAAGAGAACACAGGATCTTGTGAAAGTTTAATACGAAACTTTCACATCTTAGTCTTGAAATTCATAGAGTATGCAACGGAATGCCTGGACAGCAGATAAGGGAACACGTACACCAGTGGTTCGTCTGGCCTTTCTTTGCAACGACACAGCCCAGTCATCTGCATCTAAAGCGGACAGACTAGTAGACTGAGTCACTTGACTTGGACTCGGGTCGGACTCGAGTCACTATTTTTGTGACTCGTGACTTGACTTGTAACTATCAGTTTTCGACCTGCGACTCAACTTGTAAAGAGGGACTTATGAGTTGACTTTGACTTGAACAAAATACTTACAGCTTGCTTGTGTTTGGACCAAATGGACTTTTGACTTGACTTGGCCTGTAATCAAATGACTTGTGACTAGCTACCACCGCTGAAACAGACTGAGTCCACGTCACTGCAATCTCTAATCACCATGATGCTGGATCAAGATAGACAAACTTTGATTTACAGAAAAACAACATACTTTTGCGACCATGGTCCATGTATGTTTCGTTCAAATAAAAAAAAGGAAAGACAAGAACAAATAGACAACAAACAAACAAAACACGTCGCTTTCTTTTTTTTTTATTTGAAAAAGAAAATTGAAAATTAGTCATTTCTCAATGTTCAATTCGATAACGAAAACCGACGAAAAAGATACAAAACGTATTTCTCGTTTCAATGTTAAAAAGGAATTTGAAAACAAACGGTTGCGTGTCATTAGCTGTGACCCCCGTGTGACGTACTTTTCTTCATTAAAATCTGTGCAAGGCCGCCAGCCCTTCCGAGTTTACCTGCGCCCAAACAGGGCGCTGGGCGACGACCGAAACACGGACATGTGCATGTGCCTTTCCCATAACCCAGCATTGCAAAGGCGTTGGGGTCAAATCAAACCCCCAGACTGTCTTTACCGTGCTGTCGAACTCTCGTCTCGGAGCACTTCTCAAGGCGAAAGTAACTTTTGAATGCGAGACATTTCTTTATGGGTTGCCCCTTCTTTTATTTGGGAACAACAATTTCATTGTAATCCTCGATTTCAACCATTTCGATTTCAATCCAATTACTGTTTTCAATCTGAACAAATAAACCTAAAATCGAAAATGAGTCGTTTTTCCATCTGAAAACGAAACACGTGGAGTAAGGAACAGAAATCGTTCCTCGTTTTGCATGTTGGAAAAGGTCAAATAAAAACGCATTTCAATAATTTCTTAAAATTTCATTCATAAATACCTCCGGCAGTCTTCCTATTCAACAACGTGAAACTCGACCGTGTATTAACATTTGGAAATTCCCCTCTGCGTAAATAACGCGCCTAGCACCTGACAGTTTAAGCGATTCTGATTGGTCAAGAGTATCTGTGCATACGGCTCGCCACGCGCGCGCCAAGTCCATATAAGGAGATTCTGTCGGACAACTTGCATAAGGAATATGCCATAAAATGGACGGTGGTGTTCGGGAAAATGAAAGTAAAATTCTAGAACAAAATGGTTGGAAATCCACCACATATTGACTCCTTTTGACTCCCTGACTAAAAAGGTATTAATGAATGGGTATGTGCTTGGCTGGTCTTCAACGTTATCGGGAGATTGAATGCTGATAATACCCTTGGCTGCAGCTCGGGCAATGGGAACTTCCATTCTCCTGAGCCGGTCTTTAGCCGGTCTTAATTCGTTTACGACCGGCCAAGCACATATTTTTAACCGGTTAATTGAAGCAATATACAAACGCCCAATATTCGAGGACAGTATGGCCAGTGAACGTCAAAAGCTGGACATTGCTTTTGAGAAACATTGTATCTGTAGGTTGCTCCTCGTTTTACTTTGGAAGCAATGAACTCCCCGTAATCCTCTATTTTCAGCCATGTTTAATTCACTTTCTTTTAGCGGGACACAGTTTTACGTAAAGTCTTACATTACAAAATGATATATAGAACAATGTTTTACTCTTCAAAAAGTGCATCAATAGATTACGATGTTATTCATTTTCACATTGGAAACTGAAAGCAAAATGATTGTCCCTTTTTGGGCCTTTAATAATGTAAGACGAAAATTGATGGAATCGTTTTTATTTTTAATTTTTATTTCAAAAGGAAAAACGAGAAACGACTCGTTTTTCAAATCTCTGGTTTACTTTTTCAAACTAAAACGACTTGTTTCCCATTTTTCGTTTTCAAGTCGAAAACGGATGAATGAAACGTACACAGACCTCCCTGCCGCATCTATTACACATAATGTGCAGGAAGCCACCACCTTCTTAAAGCTTGACGTCATTCTAAGATACCTCTTCCATTTTAAGATGTCAGCTGACAAACGTCAGCGTAAGTAAACAAAAAATTGGGAAGAATTCGCAAATCAAAATACCAAAGCAATTTGGAGGACTAATTTACAATACTGAAATCGACAAAGGGAAAATGATTTATACCCACCCAATTATATAAGCCGATATTGACAGAACACTTTCTAAGACGGAATTAAGTTACTTGTTTTAGAATGTAAGAAATTTCTTTGTGAGTTGCTCTTGTTAGCAACAAATTCTTCGTAATCCTCTACTTTGGCCATATTTAATTAACATAATTTGGTCAGCTGTAGAGACGTCTGTCAATTTACCAAATGAAAAATGAAACTGTTTTCCATTCTTCAAAAAGTGAATTGGAATATATACATGTTATTTGTTGTAATATTTAAAAACACACACAAAATATGATTGTCGTTTTCAGTTTTAAAATAGAAATGGTTTCACTTATTTTCCACTTTTCGTTTTCAAATATAAGGAGAAAGACAAACGATTTTCTCGACTTTTTACTTTTGTTTAAAATGGAAAACGGGAAGCGACTTTTTTTCGATTTTTCGTTTCCAATGAATGGTTCGGACCACAGTTGACCATTTAAAATCTGAGGCTTAGTCGTATCGGAGGTTTTCAATAGCCGATGGTTATGCACGTAAATAGCCACATTCATTCATCGGTATGGGGGAACCATTCACACGAAAATTTGCAAGATGTCATTGACCATGTAGGCTGCAAGAGTTGCAGCCAACAGCAAAATGTGAAAAACGACAATCTCACACACACAAAAAATCGATCAACGTCGTTTGATACGACCGTTTTGTGCGTGCGCATTGTTAGAAACAATTGACTATTGTGATCAACAGTGCCACTGGCTCATTTCTGTGCATGCGTGCAAGTAGGAGAAAATAATCAGAGGGTGTTCTTGGTTTTTGTATTAAATAAAAGCCACAAAAAAGAAAGAATTCATTTGGGAAGAGCGAGACAAAAATACTGGAGCAAGACGGTCCAATACACTGAAAAGAAATATTTGCATATCATTGGCACGAGGAAAGGTCAAACGGATTTCTGAAGAAGGCCGTGTCCTTCAGCTCCGTGGGGGAGGGGAGCTGTACCTGAAAGCCATCATTAACAGGGCACCCGTCGGAACATGTTACTCTCCCTTGTATCTTGGGAAGCCACCCTAAAGCACTCGCTTACATTGTATGTTACCTTCCTGGGGGGGGGGGAATTTAGGAAGCTGTCGTGAAAAAGTCGTGCTCTCTCTTCCAACGTATTTCGTACATACGACTTACGATTCGTAATCCGCACCTACGACTTGTACGCCCTATCTCTCACGTACGAGTTATGTTGCACACACGACCTGTAAGTCATATCTACGACTCAACAATCTTAACTCAACGTGTGGATTTACTTTCGAGATGTAACTCTAGATACAGACTAGCAAGACTATACGCCGTGCACACCTCCGCACATGATACATGGGTACAGGTGTACGCCTTCACTTACAAAGCAATCATTGAGCCCGAATGTCCGGCTTTTTTAGTTTTAGTCGGTGAATAAATTAAGACTCACCAAATATTTACTAACTTGCACACTTTCGAATGTTTATTCAGTGAGGCCTTTAAAGTTGACAACAGTTTCAACCTTTTCAGGTTCAACATTTTCATCGTTTATGACAGTGGCCATCGAATGAGCTATTTTCCTCTTATCTTTGCAACAAGAGAAAAAAGTAATATACACAATAAATATGTACACAGAAAAAATGACTGGCAAAGATAGCTTGATATGTTGACGACACTTCCGTCCAATGGTACAGCAAATAAAGAGAGAGTTGCTTCTCATGTTTAGTGCAACTATAAGGCATAAATAACATTACAAAAAATGTAAATTGTCGTATTTTAATATCCCATTCTTTTGGATAACCTCTGAGAATCGAAAGTTACCTTTCAGTTCCCACAAAATTGGGTAACATAAATAGTTGCACATTAACACGTACAATGAGTGACCTCTGGCCAGGTATCATAAGTATCATACATGTATTAAGAAAAAATACATATATACTGACGGGACGTATTGAAAATTCACCAGAATTCTTTGTTTTTTTCCTTCCTCCCTCTGTACAAAGGTTGCTCTGAAAATCAACAGAACATGAAAGCGCAAATAATTATTCGAATACTCTGTAGAAAAATACACATTCGTCCATGTTTTTGAATTCATTCTAGATTTTTTTCTTTCAATGAACAGCTTACTTTTGAGTTCAAGTTCAAGACAAAGCAGATACAGCGTTCTCATTCTTGGCAAATTGGTAAAAAGGCTACAAATGGAAGCATTAGTTGACTGGATACAAGTGTGGCTTTTCCCATGTAAAGCAGGGAAAAACTACCAATTCTGAATATCTGGATTTCAATAATTTCTCTGCGTATGCACAATAACCCTTACAAATCCTAAGAGAACAAAAGGCTATGGAGCACAGAATAATTGCAGTTTAAATGGAAATTGGATTCCTTTGGGGTTTTCAAGCAGAAGCAAACACCAGAACAGTGTCTATGTAATTTCTTAGGTTTCCCCTCCCCCTTTACAGGCGCAACTTCTTGGTACAAGAAAGCTCGATTTGCCTCAACATGTGTTATGACGGGGTAAGGTACATCATTAATTGTTCACTGACTGTCAAAACAAAACAAAGCAAAAAAAAGTGAATAATTGAAAAGACCACTAATTTGCTATATTACTCGCTTAGAGAAGTGAAAGTTGTGTACCTGAAACTGAACTGACTGCCTCAACTAAACTGGTTAGGGAAAAAACAGGTCCAACCCTTTCTTATGTCATCCCATGGTCGTTCCAACTGGGGTGGCTTAGTTTGAGGACAACCATTCAATACACCTATCCAGTACGCCCATATCGTACCACCATTGAGAAACGAATAGCTTTTAAATTTCTGAATGAAAGTCCAAGGTTAGAGCTTATACAAGCATGAACACAATGACCTCCAGTAAAGCTAAAAAAGGTGTTTGATCCCCCTTTCAATTATGTGGAACTAAACTGCGTAAGCCCTGCACACAAGAGGGGCTGCAGATGCCGTCTACAGCGACATGTAGGTACAGGTCATTCGTGTGTTGACGGGCCATATGAACAAAACCATCAACACTTGTTGGCTTTTGTTCCGCCCCCCCCCCAAAAAAAAAGGCGGGGGAAAAGAAAGTGTTCAACACCATGCACACTGGCCCACAGGGAAAACCAGAACAGCAATGCAAGTGATAACGTCAGAAAATTCAGGTCGCCACACCCATGGGGAAAACAATGTGCCAATGACTGTGAAGAATGCACGTTGCATGCAGAATCTGACCTACGAGATACCAACTTTAGTTTTTGCCCTACCGTTTAGGGCCGAGAATGACATTACACATCGCTACATAATTCATCATGTACAATTGAAACGCTTTCTGGTGTTACAAAAATTACATGGCAAGGCAACTGAAGTTATATCATCGACAGCGTTCTCTTTACACCATTCATAACTTTACAATTCGGCAGTATATACTTTATATTTTCATACTGTACAGACTAATATATCATCATCATTATATCCAGTTGCCCGAAGTTCAGCAAAATAACTTTCTCAAAGGCAATTTTTCAATGTGTAGAAACTTTGTGTTTTAGCTTATCAACACATTCTCGGTAACTCCCTTTTTCAATAAATATACATTAATCACAAAATGATATTTAAGCACATCATAGTTCTCAGCGTGGTTCTGCTGTTCAACTCTATGCAGAATTACGACACATCCCCACAACGAAAATTCATCCGTTAAGTTCAAACAGTGAAATAAATAATACCAGTATTAATGGCCGTCTTGTCTCCGTGCTACGTTTGGTTGGCCTCTTAAATTACCAAGCCAAAGGAATGTTCCCTCATACAGACTGTACAATCTCCATCAAAACACGTTGGCTAAAAATGTTTATCCATTCATAAATATGTAAAATCTCCGCAGATGCTGGTTTCATGTTTTACTGGCGGACTTCATTTTGTTTAAGTTACTGCACCATTAGACCCTACTCGTCATAATTCGGTATTGTGCAAGGGTGATCTTGCCTGATAATCCAAAATTCATTTCAACTAAAATACATCAGAAGCTAAGGGAAATGCTGAACGAAGAAAACAGTCATTCTCCATAAAGTTAATCATCCCTTAAAGATTGAGCTGACAAGGAAAGAATTGTCGGCTACTGCTGTGACGTACACTTCCAGTTTCTTGTATGTAAATGGGGACTAGTGCTGCAGATAATGGAGTGGAACCAACCACTAACTTATTCTAGTCTTGATCTCTTTTCTACATTGTTCTCTCCATATTTCAGTAACAATATTAAACCAATTATAATTGCAAGAAAAAAGATTCTGAAATGCTTTGGGGCCTTTACTTCCATTATCTAAAACAAATAACAAAAAAAATCCATCTCACATATTCTTTTGAATTTACTGCAGTAAAAATCTGAGATTCCTTTTTTTAAAGAAAGGGAACAGTTATTTAAATAAGAATATAAGGCCATCCTTCCTTCATGGAATGAATTAGAGGCAATTCAAGGAAACATGATGTGTAATTTTTTTCAGCATTCACAATACATTCACAAGACTGAATGGGATGTTTTCTTCAAGGACAAAAACTGTCCAAATTCATGTTTTTTTTTATAAACATGGTTACAGGCACTTTACAGAAAAAATTTACCTTACTTTCTGTTATTCGAATCAAAAACTTCGTACTTCATAGTAATACGTATTACTAATTTTGCAAAGAAATTTGTTATTTGTGAGCAATATCTCTAAAAAAAAATCTCACTTTCTGTTACCCCCCAAATGTGATGATCTGATCAAGAGAGGGCGGCACAAGCACTTTTATGTATGTCTGTATCAAAATGATCTCAGTTATTTCCAATGCAGGTACATTTTTCATTTTTTTTTACAGTAAAAGGTTTGTATTGCATTTCTTTGAAAAGTTTTATACTATTAGAATTTTTTTCATTCCAAGTACATGTTTTTGGCCCTTGTATTTCAATCAAGACGATGAAATTCTTTTCTTAAAGAGTTGAAAGAATTTTCATTTTCACGTTTTACAAACCATGCCTAAGCTCCTGCACTTACACAAAATGGACACAAAGTACTCTCCCCCTCCTCCCCCATCCCGGGAATCAAGACAACCCTTGATGAATATTACTGAGTTGGCAAGGAATTTTTTCTCTCTCGATCAATTACTCGGGATTCCATCGATGATCAAACTTGTTAGAATGTTGTTTCTCACACTGGGGACTTCGCATACTGATAATGCTCTTGAGCATACAAAATAAATTCCTACCCTGTAAGTTCAGGTTTCAGACAAGGCAGAACTGTCTTTCACGGCATGAACGAGGGAACATTTGGGTCTGACTGCCAAGAGGGGATCCTCTTCAGGCCAGTTTGACGCCTGTCTGTGATTGTGGACACCAAACAAATAGTGAGTTTGGCTCTGCCTACGGGATGGCCATGGTGTGCCAGATCACGGAGCAGCGTATCATGCACAGGTTTGTGCACAAGACACATCCGGTTCATGGTGCACAAAGTATGCAGAACACTTCACCTCAAGGTGCGACTGATAAGAGATGGAAACACTAGGGAACTCTACAGTGCAGGATAGTATACAAATAATGAATGTTTATGCATGCAATGGTAAGAATAATTTCATGAGAGGAGACATGAAACATTCTATTCCACGAGGCAAAAAATGGGGGATAGAACCAGTCAAGTGAAATGAAGTTCTATTCAATGGGTGCTGTTGAATAGAACAAATAATGAAATAACGCGATCAAAGATCCACAAATCAGATGATGGGATTTACGCAGGATCTGTATAATAGTTATGAATGACAAACAATGAAAGGAGAGGGAGGGAAAAATGATATTCCATAAGAATAATGTTCCACAGATTAAGACAAGGACTCTTTCATGTGATTTGCATTTAAAACACACACAAAAATTCAGTTGCCAGCTGCTTCAAAACATTTACGAATACTCTACAACTATTACTGGGAGCATTATTATAAATTCACTTTTTAAATTCATCAAAGTTTTAAGTCATCAAAGGTTCAGCCAGAAACTGAGAATATTCCAAAACTGGGACCCTGACATTGGCCACTGAGTTGTTGGGTAGGCACAGAGTACACAAAAAGATGACGGCTTGGTCAACATGACTGGTCAAGATTGTTTTCCCGATCACTGGTTTTGTTTTCTTTTGTTTCATTTTGAGGAAGAGAGACAGCTCTCAACAGCTTGACCAAAAGCTGCTGCCCCCCACTATTCATAATTTGCCAAATTCCTTGAAATGAGAGTGTTTCAGGGAAAGAAATATAAACAATGCCACTACTTCCCCAACCCCCAATAAAAAGACTGAAGATGGAAGCAATTAGTTAAATAAACCAGTGGGGTTTATATCATTAAATTTCCTTGATTCAAACACAATCACTTGGAACGGTTCACTGTGTCCACACCCTAGTATGTCTAATGTCATCTTGGCATTTAAAGTGTGCAGTTTTGCCAACGAGGCACACATTTGAAGTGGAAAAGCAAAAGCAAAAATATCTGAGCCCAATACCAAAAACAATCCCTTTCACAAACCTTCATCTGAGAGTTATTTAAAGGGAAAGAAACAATAAGAAGAGGTAATAGTTTCATTTTGTCCCAATTTGGATGACTGATTGAACTGATTATGTAGAACTTCAGGCTCAGTTTGTTTTCACTTCTCATAATTGCTGGCCAGGTAGTTCTTTCCTAATGAGTTTGTTTTTGTCATTGAAAGGTATTTTGGAACGGACAGGATTGACTGTATTGACCATTTTAGCAAAATATCAAAGAATAGTTATATTACAATTCATATATATGACAACTCTGCATAATATAAAGTATCTATACTATATTCATCATCACCGCTACAATTATAGCGTGACACGATTGAAAATTTTACAGTGCACTTCAAGAGTTTAAGAAAATATGAACGACATACAAGACACACTTAGCACACAACGACAATGTCCGCCACACTGCTGCTGGCTAGTACACAAATGAGCTGTTAAATTTTGCCAAAACTTTCAAGTGAATTGTACATACCTTTTTCTGGGACAAGTGTCACTTAACTGTTGTGCCTTTAAACTTTTCCTTTCGCAAAAGCAAAATAAACACTTTTTTTGTTTCTGACGTTACGGCACAGTTAAAAGAGATATTTCATCGTAAAGAAATCTCTCCCTCTTTTAAGCTTTGCATTTCTCAACGGGTGCTTTGATTTTTTTTAAATTTAGGAACTTAAAATCAGAATGAATATAATGAAATGTGATTTTCTTTCACCAATACGTGTGAAGTGTGACCATTAATGCTAAGTGCATGAAAAGAAAATGTCAACAAGTCAATAGTGTGGAGCTCCTACCCGCTACCCACCGTACTGTAAACTTGAACAAAACAGTGCGGAATGAATTTCTCCTTAACAGCGGCTTGAAGTCACAAGTCACACAAGAGTCCCAGTGAAACCTACATGATAAATCTAAGCACTCTGGAAAGAACATGTTACGTTACATGCATTACTCCATCTGAGGGGGGTTATGCGTTGTACTATTAAATGAAGAACCATGTGCTTTGTGGCCACGAGAACAAGTACTAACACTGATGTAATAAATAGGGTCCAAAATATAGAGGAGTTAAGAGTTCAAGTCAGCGGCAGAGTTGCTTTTTTTTTAACCTCTAAAATAGGTGCAAGGTCCAAGTAGTGACAGACATTCAATGTCCTACCACGTGCAAATAGGAAGGTCGAGCAATGATTTGTATAATTACAATTACAGATTTGCCCAACCTTGTCCAACTTCTTGAGCAATCCCAATATACAGATATTCTGTTGTCGTCTTGGTATTTTGGTCAATTTATTCCCTGGCAGATGGCACATCACATAAATACTGCAACAAAATTTCCGGTACTCTCGTTCGGACTGCTGGCAATGCCTTCTGCTCGACCACGCAGTGCAGGCATACCAACACATCATGCCACCATGAGAACAGCTTCTGTATCATCTCACTAGGGAGAAGGCGATCAAGCAAGCCTCCGTTGTCTGTCAGGGGTAACGCATGTCGGCACAGCGGGAGGAGGAGGATCCCGCCCCTTCCTCTTGGTCACTTCATGGTCAGCTGAATGTCGGGCGGAATGAGCAGTGCCGTCAGTCGGGGGCGAGCAGTCACGTCTCGTTCTTGAGCTTCCTCAGGCCAAGTCTGGCATACTGCACCAGGTCCAGGGTACTGCTGTGCAGGGTCAGGTGGCCAAACTCACAGTCCAACTCCCGGAAAAACTCTGCAGGAGGGTGGGGGGGAGGATACAACAGATACAACAACTACTATGGAGTGCCACTGAACAAGTCTTGTTCATTGACATCCGAACCTTAGCCAAGTTTCTTCTTGGCTTATGAACTATGATTGAATAACATGCAATGGAGCTTGTTATTGGCTGAACATTGAAATGTGGCCACTTTTGCCCTTCGCATTTGACATAAGGACTTCTCCTGTGAAGGGACAAATTGCCAATTGCCCTCTCAAAAATGAAAAGGATAGGCATACAATGCATAAAATAACAACATATTACTGAGGGATTTCACAAAATCAATATTTAAAAAAGCCAAATTCTTCTTCAGTATTTGTCATGACTTTTCATACAAAATTGCAGAATATCTGTACAGGTTGGCAGCTCTGTTAATGACTGGCCACCTGTTGCATAAATGCATTTTTCAAGAGTATAGCACAATGTAGGTGGGGATACGTCCACATTCTACACACCTTTGTTTTCCAGAGCCAGAATGTCTGCCTGCTCCCAGAAATCCAGACCGTAGTATCCACAGTTAGAGTTCTGAATGTATGTGGACATCATGTTGACGATATGCTGGGGGACAGAGATGTTGCCCATGGGCGAGGACATGGCGTGTGGTACGCCGTTGGTCAGCTTGCCCGGCTGCGTTACGTGGGGCAGCAAGGAGGGCTGCTGGTGCAGGGCGGCGTTGGGCTCGCCGCCTCCGCTGTTGTTGCTGCTGCTGCCTTGAGAGCCCAGGCTGCAGGCTGATCCAACGCTACCAGCCGGGGAAGGGGTCGGGGACATTGGGGACGGGGTGCCAGTGTACCTGTGGCAGGGAGACAGTGAGGGTGAGGGGTGAATTAGAGGTTTAGCTGACTCAACGGGGAACTCCGTTTACCAAGGTTCTACAGAGAGTGAACACTGGACAAATCCGAGACACTGAGAACAGTGACATATAAAAAGATTTCCTTTCTTGTGCTGAGGTTGTTCATCATCACGTAGCTGACAGCAAAAGTATGCAATAAGCTAGAATACACATCTTGGCTAGTTAGCTATCTCTTTTAGTTCCATTTCATTGCTGGCAGGTTTTGAGCCCAACCAGAGTTTTGTCAGGGTCCAAGGCATGGAAGCGCACCCCTTACCCTTCAATCTTAGAATTTACACCTCTAGTTCTCGATCTTTTTAGAGTTTGCAACATGGTGAATCCACAAAATCTTTTCTAGTTGAGTACTGTCAACCACGTAAAGCCCATCATCATGTTCAGAAAGTTAGACTGTTAAGCAGAGCTGTCACCATTTTCATAAAGTTGGTGTACTGTACATGGTTACGTTAAGATGCCTGTGCTGCAAGAAGGCCCTTCCAGGATGTCAAACCACAGGAGAAACCTTCAAAATTTCAAAAATAATTCCACAAAGGGGTGGTACGACTAGCCATCTCAGAAATGTCAAATCCCATATTTTATCAATTATCCTTCTTCTGCTGGTTTCATGTCATAATTTGCCTTTATCAGTGTTGCGGTTTTACAGGCCTTATTGTGTGCTAAGCCCTTTTGATACTTCACACTGTGAGTTAGCTTTTAGACTGTTCTTACACCCTTTCAATCACAAATCACGTTGAACTTAGCCTCGGGGCTACACCGCAATTTCTTTTTAATAATTTACGCATAATGATGATAACACTAGCTCGTGACAACAATTGAAGAGGAGTCAACAAGGTGAGGGGTTTTGGGACTCACTTTGAGGAACTCCATGATGATGGAGCTTGGGGGGCCTGCTGTGATTTGGAAGAGTTTTTGAAGTGCTCCCCGAGCACCTTGGCAAGTTTCATTCCGGCGGCCTTCTTCATCTTGAACATCTTCATGTAGAGGAGACCCTGGCAACGGTGGCTGTTGACCACAACAACATGACATCAAGGAATCAATGTCTTTTACTGTTCAGTTGTCAAATTTTCACACTGATTATCAGCAAATTGACTATTGATAGAATTGCTGTTCAGTCAGGGAGATGTCAGACATGAATACTTCATATTACCTTCACCAACATACTGAACCAGTCAGGTATTTCATAAAGGTAAGGTTATTTGAGAACAAGGGACGCGAGCTTGAACACGTCCAGCGTACGAGTTGGTGTATGACTGCGCTAAATAGGACCAATCTCGTGTGTACGTATTACTGTAGGGCATGTAGTGTTGGAATACTGAAATGACTGACTGACCACTGTGTGTTCAGTGCTTCCTGGGGTACTATGGGAACAAATTTGTAAGTCTGGTTGAGGAGGGCTCAAACCGATGACCTTAAAGAAAGCTTCTGAACAAGTTTGCAAATACCTTTCAGGGAAAAAAAAAGAGAAGAGGGATATCTGAGTATTGCATATTTTGTTTTAAGGAACTTATTTGTCATGGGCTCTCATGGTCCTTTAGAAAGTAATGTTCGACTTTCTGGACAAGGGCTGAGGATTTGCCATCATTCCCCGACCATTGAGACCAGCTAACTCACCATAATACTGCTAGTTTCTTGTCCATGCTTAGAGCATCTTGGTTTAAGTGACTGCCTTTGAATTTCAGGATGAATCTGATCCAGACGACGAGAGGAGGAAAAAGAAAAGGATAAAGAAGCATGAATCATCATCTGTCACGGTTTGAAAAAAAAACCCAAGAGCCGCCGTTGCAACCTCAGCTCATCAAGTTCAACAAGGTATGACGTAACAGCAGGTGAAATTGTACACTGCATTATGACTCAGCTATGATTGGAGACTATTATCTAGTCAAGACATAATGACGCTCACAAATCAAAAAGGTATGACACTGATACAGCCATTATTGTGCATGACTGACCCGCAGGAATATGCACAGGGATATTACAACATTACCGGGTTACCCTGTATTTTGTTTCAAGTCATGTCAGCCTTGCAGGCACAGCTGGACTTAAAGTGCACAAGCCTTGACAAAGTTTTCTGATTGAAATGAGCCTTCCACTATTCTTTATCAGGGCTGAAGCCAGTTCGACAGAATCGATACGGTGTCGTTTTCACAAAGAAGTGTACATTTTCATGTTAAATAAACAGCTGATTATAATGCATGGAAAGAATAGCTACTTCAATGTGCACTCCAAGTGCCATTTTTAAGTTTTAGAGTGCGTAGAAGTAGACATAAAGCCGGGGAGGGGGGAATCCCCTTTTTCCTTCTGCCTAGAGGCTTTTTATACTACTGTTGTGAAAAACATATCACAGAGGGTGACATTTGGATGCTGGTATTGGTGAACCTTGCTCATACATATGCATAAAGATTAAACATGTACATCAGATTATTCATAAATGTAAGGATTAATTCATATGCATGAGCAAGCACAGCCAATGCCTTTAAATCCAGCTGACTATATACATTATGATTTAAATGCTCTTCAATAAGTGTTGCCCAGGCATTGAACTCACTTGATAATGTCACAGGTATCTGAATACATGGTAGTGGCTTTCTCGATGGGGACTAGTGGGTCATTTTCCATGGAGTTACCACACAGTATGAAGGACAAAACGGCATCAAAGTACATCAAAGCCTTCTTGTTCTTGTCACTCTGAAGGTATCACGAAATTAGAGAAAAGAATAAAAAATCAAGTCCGCAGGTGTTTGCCAGGTGTTTATCATTACTCAATATGAATCTGCTCCTTGCGAAGTGTTTCTGTATTATCTTTATTATGTAAGCACATCATCTCAGTTTATGAGATTACAATTCTATGGCAGAAATGTAACAAAGAGAGCCATCAGTAACAATAAAACTGAGCTCGACACTTCTACGTGATTTATTTTAAGTGTCATGAATTCAATGCCTTCCAATATACATTTGTAATTTAAATGGGCAATTATCCCATGGCAAAATACCATCAAACACTCACAAAACACGAATATTTACTGTAAAAGGGAGACTCAAAAGGTCTATTTAGGGGGAGGGTAGGGGGAGTTTTATAAAATGGGAATGCACTGGTGCTTCCAGTTTTTGATTTGTGTCAGGTTTTTTGTCCAGGAAGATAATGATCAATTATCTCAAAGCTCAACAAAAATGACATTTTGGACAACATGTTTTATCTGTTTCCACGAACTCTCTGCAAAAGTAGGACGTCTGGAGTGGAGACCTTTGTGAATGATTCAGCGCAGGCTGCACGAGGAGCATTAATCACACTCGCAGCTGTTGGGACTGAGAGTGCCCTACACAAGGGGATGTTACACCTTAACCACCCCCTCTCCCCTTTACCTATAGAATGTGACGTGCATGCCCAAAAGGTCAGGGGGGTAGATTTGACTGCATGGGTCACAATCCTTCCAAATCCTAGATTTCCCATTGGGATGCCCTGCTTAATGTGTGATAGGACGGGAGTATCCAGGCAAGAGGAAACAGTTGCTCTATTCCTGTATTCCGCCGAGGTCCCTGATATTCATTTGGCAGCGGTGAGACGAAAGAAGGGTTTAAGGGGATCCTAGATTGAGGTGTTTATAGACAGAATTGCTGCGTGCTAAGGGTGGCGGGTAAACGGAGCCCTTAATGACGACAGACGGATGATGCCGAGAGTCATGACGTGCTAAAAACAGGATTGCTGTCAGAACCGTTTATTGAGCTTGTGGTGCTCTGACTGTACTAAGATGGCTTGGTTGGGGAAATAAAACAGCTCAGTTTTACTGCACTATAACTTGTTTTGAGAAAAAAAAGCACATGACTACCTGAGCAAGAAATCAACATGACCTTCACGTCTTGACATGCACTGCTCTCTTCAGTTTGGTAAAAAGACAATAACGAACTGTGTAGGGTAGAATCCTAACATCCTGATATTATCTAACATTTCGTTGACCTTTTAAGCTCTATGATTGCCTCATAAAAGAGTGAATGATGAATCAGAAATTGAACCAGGCATTCAACAGACGTATCCACTCAAGAAAATAGGATATGAAAAGGAAACATTCACGCATTCTGCAGCAAAGCTGTGGACACAAAGGCGCAGGTCACAAATGCTGAAATACAAAAACCCTCATAAACAAAAAACACAGAAATGACGTAAGTACAAAATCCAAACTCTAAAACCGACACACAGCGCTTACAAGTTCAGTGTCAACGTTTGACGGTTATGATTAGTAAAACACAAAAGATATTCAGGTTTACAATCCAACTTAAAAAGAGTCTATTCTGGCTAGTCTCATCTTGATGGGACAGGGGTAATATAAACAGAAACAGGTGGTGAAGGGATTTTGAGGGTGTGGCCAACTGCAAGGCTGCAGGATGTTATCAGCATGACTGCAAGGCCTTTATCAGAGATTTACAACAGGATGGAGGGTGTGGCAAGTTGACTTGTTGCCAGATAGCTGAAGCTAAGCAGGCAGCAATAGTCAAACTCCAGCAGTCTCGTGGCTATCTCATGTCCCCGGAAATGTGGGTTTTTCTCCTTCCCAAATTGTTCCCATTAAAAGAAAAAAAAGTGGTGTGAATTCGGTTTCCTACGGCAGAAATTAAGTTACTCAACCAAATTAAACTTCTCAAAATTTGAAACTTTGTTGTATGTTCAGGGTGTGTCTAGGCCAACATTTTTCTTTCTTTGTGGGGACAAAAAATGGGCAAGTGACTCGTATCTTAATGGAAATAATTTTGGCAAATCTCTAGTCTGTTTCAACAAATCCTCTGCAAAAGTAGGACATATTGAGTAATTTTCACTGAACTTGTAAGGTCCAAGTAAAGGGTGCATGGGGCAGGCAATTTAGAAGTTCAGGGATGGCTTAGGATAGAGGAGGTGCAGGGACTGCCACCACACTTGAAGTCATCACAACTGTTACTGTTAACTGAATGTTTTCAGACTGTCCCTAGCTTTCAGGTTAAAGGTCACTCATACCTGTGCATCAGCCTGTCTTTTAAGCTTCTTTCCCTCCGCAAGGTAAGCATCTGCAGTAAACTGCCTGCTGTAATGAAACAGAAAGAAAAATAAAAGACCCTTCCTATTATTAGATCAGTTGAAATGCGACTTCTGCACACAACCAAACAAAACTAGAGTGTACATGCACATGAAGCAGAGGGCCAAAAAATAAAGCAACATTTGGCGAGAATGACGGCACTCACGAAATGAGAACTCTTTTCAATCTTTTTTGATTACGTTCGTCCGTTACCATGAAAGGCTTCTTGAAGCCAACGTAATTTAAAACTACCCCTATACACCGACTTATGAGATGTTTCACTTGTTCTGTACAGAACACAGGCATTGGAGAGATGGCAGTGGAAGGACAAAGGGCAGAATAATCTGCAGTCCTAATTTCACAGGGGGGACGGGGAATTACAACACCTCATAAATGGCCGCTCCTGTACTACTCTTGGTTTCACAGATTTGATAAACACAATATTTCCAAGTTCGGCCTCCATGATGACGCATTTTAACTTGCTTTCATTGGATAAGATTTGCAAAGGCTGTAATGGCAACTTGCCAATCCTTTTGTGAAGCTGGGTGACATTACATTTTCAGGATAGCCTTGCCTCAAGGCAAGTCGTGACAAAAACAAAAACACCCAGGAATCAAGTCTTCCCAACAGGAGCCAGATTACAGAGCCGGCTTGGTAATATTTGGCATTGGCAAGTAGATCACTAGACACGCTGGGCAAATGTTTCACAGTTTGATGTCTCACTTTTTCTCCTCAGTACTCAGTCCAGCACCGCAGGTAAGTATACAACTTCAGGCTATAAAGCCATCAAGGTTCGTATTGTCTTTGTTTTCTCTTCCCTTCTCTTCTCCAGAAATGATTAGTACCATTTTACAGGTGGGAATACCATAATCAGATCAATGTCAAGCCCCGGAGATCCTTAGGGATCTGCCAAGGGGCAAATGAGTTTCCTTTCTCCCCTAGATTAATGGCGCCGTAACGAGCTAATGAACCTCTGATCCAGTATCTCACCATATCGTTAATTATTTCTCTCACTTCATTACAGACGAACTGGACTCCAAGGAATGTGAATGTATTTTATTAAGACGTACTGCTCCGTTTTTCCGATTAAAAAAAATGTGCCATGCAATAATTAATAAGATAGAAGGGTGCTTAGCCCTTAGGGTCTCTACGAACATTATTAATCATGATTTTTAATCAGAGTACCCTGGTTCTAATACCAGCTTTAAAAGAAATGCTTGGTATTGTCATTTGTATGAAAAAAACTTTTTTCACGGCTTTTCTTTTGTAAATATACGATAACTGCTTTTTATTGGCATATTGATGTTTTGGTTGCTTCCACTCTTCATCCAACTCACATTAGATTTCTTAAAATTGCCGCAAACCCTAAAAAAATTTCAAAACTGAACTTCTAGTGGGTCAAAAGTATGTATTCTGTCTGTTTTGTATTCTCCATCTTAATGGCTTGCAAGACCTGTAATCAATAAATTGTTAAAAGCATGGCACATTTTCTAATTAATGTTCGAAAACAGGCAAATAAAAAACATAAAGTGAATGTTCTTCATAAACCATTAGTGATTATGAAAGATTTTAATGACAGAAGACGGAAAAAAAGGCGTAGAAAAACACATGAGGTAGAAGACTGGGCGTAACAGTATCACACACTTAGTCTGTCTACCATTGTTCCCCCAGAAACAAGTTGCCTCTGTCCCATCCTGGAAGGATATTAGTGAATTATCACAGTTGCGATCGTCTTGCAGATATCCACCGCAGCACAAAGGGGGGGGGGACAAGCAAAGGCGCAGCTTAAAAAGCCAGCAAATCATGTTGTTACACCTGCCAGCCCGGGTACACACGCACACTAGCCGGTTGTGGGTATTGAATGTCAAATCCCTGCTTGCTGGGCTGGTCTTGGCCAGATACGACACAGTATCACCTGCTGGCTTCTTGTACCGTGGCATTAAAGAGAGTGCGACACCGCTGCACACGTTTTTCTAAATTTTATGCATACACGGCTACATGTAACCCCTTCCTACTCTCCACTGTTCCAGTTTTGCCTAAGTTTTGGACCGTAAACATGGTGGGGATGGGTAGAAGAACTGAAATGGGAGGGAGGGAGCCTAGCGGGATTCAGGATCCACTCGAGGAGCCCCCCCCATTTTTAAGTTAGGTCTAGTATACATATCTGGCCATCTAAGACATTCATTTCAAAGGCAAATGGAGGCATTGAGAAAGATAATGTTGTGCACAACGCTATATTCCAGAATTTTGTAAATTTAGGGTCCTAAACTTGGCAGGCAATTTTTACAGTGAAAGAGAAGAAAAATTTGATGGGGCACCAGGGGCTACTTCTACAGATAGAATACTGCCCCGATGCAGGGGAAATGTCCACTGATTCAACCCATCAAAGGGGTGAGTAAACTGTTTGAAACTGAATTCATTCACATCCCCGTTCTTAATTTACATCCTATTATCAGCTCATTAATTGCCTTCATGTCCAATGGAGTTTCAATAAGAAAAAAAATTACAGCCGGTAAGTTAAACGTTCACAACAGTGAAGAATGATGTATGAATTACTCAGCTAAGAATATTCTAGTCATGCAGCACATGTATTCATCAATCGATGCACTTCAAATTAAATAAATGGAGACAGGGCTCTGCCGCTCCTTTAAGCTCACTCCTGTACTAACATAAACCTTGTTTCCCTGGTGCTGATCACAGACATTGCTGCCTTCCTGCAGGGAAGATTAAAGGCATTTGGGTCTCGCTCTGTCGTTTTTTCTTTTTTTGGGGGGGGGAGAAGGTGACGTTTGGCATAGTCAGCGACTCAGTCTGGCTGCCAACATGAACGACAGGTTAAACGGTTAGGTTTGTTTAAGTCCTGCTCTGGGTCCACTGACTTCTACGGAGGAAGCTTATCAATGCGGAAGGAGGAAGGGGGGGAACTTACAGGCTCAGCCTGATTAAGGCGATGGTTGGAGTTCTGCCTTGCTCAAAGGAACGGCAGGCTGATAAGTCTACCTTCAACATACACCTGAGGGCAAGTCCCCACCGTATGGTACATTGGTGAAAGTTACACAAGGTATAACTCTACACTATGGGACAATCTGTTTTTCTTATTCTCTTTTTTTTTCTCTTCTTGAAGGCATGAAAAATATGAGTGATTGTCTGTGGCAGCCGCTTCAATATGGAGACTGGCCACAGTAGCCAAGGGGAGTAGTCCCCATAATTGCTGCAATCTGCCCTTCCGATACTGATAATGAAACAAAGTATAGGAAGTCACACCAGGACTGGCGCGCTAAGATTCCTGTCCTCATGAAATCCACTGAGGTTTGAGTAGCAACTCAAGTTGCAAGATTACAATTGGAAACTCATTCTTGCCCGATCTCTTTCAAATCACCATCCCTTACAAATATAACACTATCTGCGCTGTAGAAAAGAATGTTTTGAATCTCGAGGTAAGATTTGAAAGAGTGCTTTGCACCTGCATCCTAACGTTTGGTTCTGACATTGATGGGGTTTACTGCTGATCATGCCCTGTATCACACCATGTTGTTTTCTTGTGCCTGACCAGTTTTGTTGACCATGTTGTGTGTGAAATACTAGGAATGACAGTTTTTAACTACGGTTAAGCAAACACTGCATGTTGCCTTTACACGTAATGTCAAAAATGATGCAAATTGGCCATACCTTTCTTCAAACTCCATGCCTATCCGTTGCCTATCCATCATATTTTTTCTTGCAACAAGGGGATTAGAGTTTTTGACATAGTCTGCACCAACGGCGACATCTCCCCACTCCTCGCCGACTGACCGGTGTCCATTCCTTGTGCAAGTTACGTCATTTGACACACTGGTGGAGTCCTGCGATCTATCAACTCGTTCTTCGGCCTGAGGTGGGGGCGAGCCCCAGGCATGTCCTCTCACTACGGCTCCACCAGGCACTGCAGAGTTGGACGGTGCATGCAGAAAGTTTGTGCCGCCGCCGCCGCTGCTGGCACTGCTGCCACTACTGCAGCTGCTGCAACTACTGGAGTCCATGAAATCATTGGTGGCCTTTTTGCGTCGCTTGGTGGGCTGCTGTTGCTGCTGCGACGACTCACGGTCGCTCCTGCGACTGCTACTACAGCTGCTTTGTGAGGATAGTAGGCTAGAGACGCTGTTGGTGCTGCCTCGCCGTTCAGGGGGCCGCCTCCTGTCCAAGACAGTGTCGCTGTCGGGGAGAGATGACAACCTAGTCAGAGGACAGACGGCAAATGGAGATATCAAAATCTAGCTGGACATATACTAACCCTGTCAAGCAGAATTGAAAACCCCTACTTTGGTGGTTCAACTTCACAAAATATTGAAAGGGTCTGTGACTATTAAAAAGTAAATAACAAATTACAATACTATTAAATACCGATGGAAAATAGCCTTCTCTCCCTACAGCAATTCTGCGAATGTGCATCTTAAGGCAATGGAGGAATGTGCATCAAAAGCTGTCACCAACCTCGGAGGAACTTCCTGCACACTTTGGTTGCCCATACAAAATGACAGTCAATGTTTATAGTTAACAATAAAGAGTTCTTAAGGAGGTCTTATGGCTTATCATGTTCCCATAATGATATCTCCTGAAATACATGCCCAATTGGGTTGTAACCTTGTAGATATCTAGAGAGGCGTTGCAGATGAAAATTGACCTGATGTCAAGATAATGTCATCACATGACTAGTCACGTGACATTAAAGGGGCACTTACATATTTATATAGTAGGTTAATTTCTCAATTTGACAAAAGCATGCAAAAAAGTTGTCTGTTCTGTCGTGACACGGACAGATAACCTCTGGTTTTATCTGTGACTCTTTGAGTTAAAATTGACCCCTCCTGCCATCAACAAAAGATGTAAAGGAGTAAGTAGCACAAACCTGTCGTGGCAAAAACCAAGATGAGAAGAATTCAGGTGACTTGCTATACGGCCCAGCATTTATCTTCCCTGCTTTTCTATGGCCATGGGCCACTCTGATTTCTACGACCCCCAAGATCCTTAAACCACCCTTCAAACTTTATATAGGCACAATGCGGTATTTGCAATGATAAATCCGCTGCCTGATGTTGAGTTCAGACCACGTGAGTGGTTGTTGGTTGCTGATTCCTTTTTCCAATTCCCTCTTTTACGAATAGTGCCTGGCAGAAACAGTAAACACCATGGAAATCTGGATTTCTAATTGACTGCAAGTTTAGACAGCCCTGTTCCCGCATACCGGCGGAAGCTGTGCTCCTTTAAGATGGAAGACTTACTCGTGTTCCAGCTCCTCGTTGTGGAGGATTCTTGAAGACTTGATGCCACTCTCACTCTTTGGTTTCTTGCACCCAGACAAAGGCTCCTTGACAGGATTCTGTCCGGTGAAACGAACGTCAATTAAAACAGTTTAAAAAAAACCAGATATGCGTGTATCATTAGAAAGGAATGGGCAATTATATACAATTTGTCATTCCATTTAAAAAAAAAACGTTAAAAAGCTTTTTAACAAAAAAGTACGAATGTGGATAAAAATCTGGCAGCACCATTATGTTTTACTTTCACTTTTATTTTTGGAAAAAACAACTTCCTTTTCATTTGTGAATTAGAAATGATGATGGGGACAGTAATGGGATGATGCCATGTCACTTTCACGCGTAACTACCCGTCACTAGTTTTTTTAAAACATGTTCAAGCACTTCAATAACTGCGTGACCAAGTGATTCTTCTTCAGAGGCTCACATTTCAGTTTGCACACAGATCACTCATACAAGTATAACTAGTGTAGCTTGCTTTTTACAGGCTAAGCCGCTTTCCATATATCAACAGATGATGCTACAACAATCTGCCTTTGGTGAGCTTCATTTTTCACTTGCACAGGGGAAAGAGACTGACAGGTGACCGTCTAATGTTGCACAAGGGTGCCTCTGGTGCAGGAGAAATATTTGGATGCCACTTGGAGTGGTACCAGGTGGTAACGTATTGTGTTGCATGTACTGATTGATGTTCAATGCTTATGCACTGATTAATGACTGGCTCACTGACAACAGAAAACACTGGAACACACAGGGCACTTGAAGCCTCTGTAAGTTTGGGGGCTCTTGACTGATGACAAGTGTGGTACCACCAACATTTCTAAGCTGCATTTCCAGACTGGAGAGGACCAATTTGGAAAAAGAGTGATCTGCCGAGTGTCTGTCTTGGGATGTCACTTTCCATGCATCATTTTTCATAATTAATAACGAACTCTTCAATGTGCCTATACGGTATCACACACATAAGCAATTAACTGCTTCATATGCTTATTCATCGTTAGCACTGACAAAAATTACAACTTAATGCATGTAATTCAAAAACAAGGTCAAAAGTGCCAAGTCCTTGTGAAACAGCAAAACCCAGCTGGTGTTGTCAACTCTTTCCCATAATGTGAAAAATAATGTGAACAAATGACCTCATCAGCGTAATTTTAATGGTAGTGCCCCAGTTATAAACTTCTTCTTTCAGTTGCCAGATAAAAGCAAGTATACACTTAAAAAGTTGGACGTTTTAGGGATCCTTTTGGTTTCAACTAAAGAATCACCAATGTTTACATCTGAAAGTAAGGGATAAGTAGACATTATGACCAAGACAGGCCTCTCAAAATTTGGTGTGAGATGTTGCTGCGCTAATTGGACCAATGGACAAATCCATGAGCATACAGGCCCTAAATATCAAGTCTTTGGGTCTCCACATAGTCCGATGTGAAACATTACCAATGTCGAGCAAGACAGTTTAGAGGAGTCAGCTGACGGCACGCGACCTGCTGAATTAAGGATAATCATGATTACATACATGCCTATCCTCTTGATGTTGACAATGAGAGTGACTTGGTGGACACTTTAAACCCAACTGACAATGCGACAACTATTATGAAAACACTGTCGCACTTTGTGCCATGCGCACTCAAAATAGTGAGTGCCAATGGTATATTGGCCCAAAGGGTTGCCACTACCCAGACATAAAACTCCCTCTATCGTGCACATACAGAACCAATACACATGCTAAAGACTTTACAAACCTCCTCTTCCAGGTCTTCCTGTTTCCTCTTACAGGCTTTGACCAATGGAGGCGGTCTCTCCTCCTCGAAATCTAGCAGCTCATTCCTGTAAGAAAGCTCTGAGGCACCGCAACTGTGCCCTGGCGAGGGCCTTTCTGTTCTACAGGGTTGCCTGGGCCGCCCGGGTACCCGATTGATGAGCGACAGGCTGAGTTTGACAATAAGCGAGGGGATACCATCCTTGTAGGTTATCTCCTGCGGGTGCGGAGCCGAGGTTGGCCTGTCCGAGTCCTCGTTCTTGATCGGCGACAAGAGAGGCTCGTGGGTGATCCCGAAACCGGGCTGGTTGATCATGGACAATAGCACGTCGTCCAGGATGGGCTTGGCGGGAGACGCTCCTCCCTCAGTCTTGACCAGGCTAGGTTTCTCCTTAGTTCTGCTGCCCTTGCCTGACGCTTTGCTTTTTATTTCAGCGCGCGTACTGGTTTTGTGGGCAGGACTGGGCACCATGTGAGGCTTACTTGTTCCGTTCACCTTTTTCAGTAATGGCGGCCTTTCCAATTCATCATCTGAATCACTGCTGTCCGTATCACTCACAAACTCCTTGGATGTGGGCTTTTTGGCCGATTTCTTTTCTGGAGTTCTCATTCGTGGTGGGGTCTTCTTGTCCCCCTTCAGAGTCGTCTTACAACTCTTTGCCTTGATTTCAACCTTGGGCTCAGCACCACTTTTACTCGACTGCTTGTTCAGCTTAGCACCCTTCTTGGATTCCTTGGGCGGCAGGTCACTCCGAGCATGCGATGCCGTTTTGGACTTCCCAACCGTAGGGGACTTTTCTGGCGCCTTCTTGGGCCCACGCTTGTTTGTGCCCTGCTTAGTGGCACTCCCGCTGGTTCTGACTGGGGACTTGGACAGTGGTGTCCTCCGCTCCGTCAGCAACTTGTTGAAGTCGTTGATGCTGTTGTTGTCATTGTACGTGTACTTGCTGAAGCTGCCTTTATCATAGCCCTCGGGTGGGGTCAGCGTAGTGGTCAGGTCATTGATGCCCAGGACGAAGCCCCCACTACCTTCTCCTCTCTTCCCTCCCGCTGCTGCCACCACGGCCGGGCGGTGTTGGTTGGTGTTGGGGAAGGACTGGGTTTCCTTGATGGTGAGGGTCGGTGGAGTTGGGGCTGTGCTGGGGACAGCTGGTGGATTGCTGAGGGGTGGCTGTTTGGGGACATTGAGGGCTCCTGGTGATTTCTTCCCCTCAGTCATCTTCTTGTTGATGAGATCGTGGAGGTTGTACGTTTTGTGGGTGGGCTTGTCCTAGATAAAACAGTTTCAGAGGCAAAAGTGACAATGTAAACTTGAAACCAAAAATGAAAACAAGTGAAAGTAGATTCAAGACAAGTTCATTTTCATGCAGATAAACAAATTGAAACTAATAAAATCAAATCACAAAATTTGAATATGTATTAGCTGAAATCCTCAGTTTAAAAATGTCAGATCTGTTGGTGTCAAATCGTAAATATAATGAACAGACTGTCTGACCCATTTGAATTTTCTTTACCCCTGACCTCCATCAGGTTGATGGCAACAATGTCAACACAAAATATGGAGGGCAAGCAGTTCTGGAAAACCTGCCAGGGGGCATCCTCTTGGGGGAGTGGCTAAATAGGCTCAGATGTGAACTTTAAATGTCCTGATACATAACAGCTGACAATGATGGATCAGCCTCCCATGTCAGTGTCCCAGTTGGCTGTTACCTGATCAAAACCTACAATGGGTTCCCCCTTCTTATCCTTTGGTGACCCATGCATGTAGCTTCGGAGGGGCGCTAGGATTCAAGTAACATTCACAGTCTACATAATCTTAAGAATGCTAAGAGAGCACTCTCCACTTTGAAAGTAACCTTTACTTTTTTGCTGTCCTTATTGGTATGAACTTATTGGTGAACATGCACTGAGGACACGAATGTGAGATTGCACATTTTACTGACATTAACTCCCACTTTAATAGTATGACTAAATAGTAAACCATCAATACTGTCGGAGTGACAGAGTGAGTGAGAGAGTTTTGACATGTCAAACAGCTTATGCAACCCTGATGTAAAGAAGATTAAAAACTGATGACAGCTGTACTTTGGGATTTAAATTTCACCCTCTACTTTATGATGAGGATGACTGGTTTCCTCCCCACGTCTCCTCCCTTCACTGAGGTGTACTAGGAGTGCTCTCAATGCATGTAAACTTTTTCCCAGGGGTGTTATCCAAATCTCAGCTTCACCTCCAGCTTTGCCTGATGTTTGTTCCCTCTGAATTTGGAGTTTTAAGCTGAGGAAATAGTCTGTTTTGGTGAGAGGAATATCAAACTACATGTGACCCACTCTATGAGCATGAGTCACAAGGCCTTTTTGTTTCAGTGATTTTGATTCAGTTTTTGTCAAAAAGGGCTTTTCATGTTAATATCTCACTCACTTGACAGTCCAAATTTTGTGGGGAAAAGGTATTGATGATTCCTATTGAAATTTGTAGTGCAGGATTTTCGAAAGGTCCATACTTCAAGAGTTGCACTGGTGACTTATTTCTCATTTTCACAGAGTAAGTCACATATACTTTGGATCTAAAGATGGAAATGTAATCATGTAGTTTGAACTTAATAGAACTACAAGTGGTTTTGATGTCAGTGTTAAGCCAAGACAGGGATGGAAGTCTAGATTTCAAATACCCCACCCCTGTTAAGGTGCCAAAACGAGACAAACAGATTTGGGGTGGGTGAGCAGGTGGGTTGGAGGGTGGGGCGGCTTACGGCAACCAGAGCCTTGACTGACCTGAGGTGGAGATGACTCATGGTCACTGGAGCTGGCATCGCTCTCACTGTCCGTGTCATTGCCAGAGCTGCTGTCATCATCTGATTCACCCGAGGAGCTGCCGCTGGAGCTATCTGACAGCCGGCTGGTATCCATCTTGCCTGAATGCCTGCAGAGGGATACAGGATACTGGGGATCAGAGTTGGGATATTGATAACACACACTCACTCAATATTCATGAGTAGTTCTATTATATCAAAACTAAAGCATCAGTCCCAACTATATTTGGAACTGTGCCAACTATAATGCTGCAGATGAGATGGCCCAACTGTAGTCCACAAGTTTCTGTTTTGTTTCCTTTGTTTTGGCGGGTGGCTTACTCCTGAAAAAAATCATAAAAAACAACAAACCACCGTGGCATTAATTAATTCCATGACATAAATAAAACTAGATTCTACAAGCACATGTTGCTGATCTGAATGGAATGATGCTGGCATATGCTTTTTCTCTCAACATAGTTATTCACTTGTGTAATTGTATAATGTATACATATTCATTCTACCACAGATTAAACAGGTTCTCTTATTATGCTATGAACACACCATGAATTTGAGAGGTAAATTTTTTCCTTGTTACACTGCCTTCTTTTCCCCAACCTGCCGCCTGCCTGTAATTGGGAAGTCAAGGCTAGGAGACTCTGGGTAATATTTGTTCTGTATGTCCCCACTGATGGAGTGCAGATGGTTGACCTTCGACCTGTGGGGCCTACTGTGAGACAGAAACAGTTCATTCATCCCTTCAAAGCCAGTGCACAATCTAGTTCCCACCAAATTCAGCATTTTTTAAATATGATACCTAGTGAAATGACTCAAGCATAAAACAGGTACGAATCAGAACATATCAATAATTTATGGTGGATTTACAAGAGCTCTTGGATACCAATAATAACTGTGTTCAGCTAGGGCACAGATTCCAGTTGAGAGACCCTTTTTAATGACATGATTTTGCCTACAGTCCTGTTAACTGTACGCACTTGAATGTAGACATGCTCAGTTTAACTTTGGTAATATGCATATTTTTCATCCCTTGTCACACAATGGCACGGTATAACAGGCCCAAGCCCTCCAATTTTAAGATAATTTTCCTCACACCTAGCCGGTTCAGGTTAACAGTGTTATCCTTTTTGTTGAAGGTCCTTTGCACTTTTATCACATCTACTCATATGTACACAAACTTTGTGCACACATATATTTAGCAGTGACACAGCTTGGACTAGCAGCAGATGGTCTGCAAACAATTTTCTGGTTCATTCCCAACAGAGTAACCATAAAAAAAGAATAAAATGTACCCATCTGAATCGAACAGCTTTTCCCGGCAGACAGAGGTCAAACTGTTTGCCATTCATTTCTCTGAGACGTCAGCAAACATTCTGTTATACCTGTTATCTTCAGATTGACTGGATACAAAACACCTTTGGGGTGTACAAAAGGCATTGAATAGTGTACCCCTGCATCTCTGTGTACACGTACATGGACAGATGTTCAGACAGGAAAGTTTGAAAACGAAATTAAAGAGACGGGGAAGGAAAAAACATTTTAAATCAATCTGAGGACAAGAAATGGAAGAGGAAGTCGCAGGTAAATTGGGAGAGGGGAAGCAGTCAAAAATGATTTCGTCAGGTCAATGGCTCAATGTGCTTCCTGACACGTCTAACTCTCACCCCCTCTCCCAAAACAGGGGCCACAAGAGGTGCCCAAAGATTAGGGCACTGAACCCCCCTCCGCATGTGGCACGGGGTGAGGGGGTAGCAAGGGGTGAGGGGAGGGCAGCTATGCAATGACCTCTAGGGGGGTACATGTACATACTTGGAGTGACTGATGACTTCAACAGATGACATGTGTCAAAAGTGTATGGTACATACACTACTGAATCAGGAGGCTAAAAAACCTAAGAACTAGGAATGTAACATTTGTGGAAATGATGCAGACCAAACAACTGTCAAATAAATATGTAATCACTGCTGCTTCTCATCACCACTACTGAAGAAAAATCATGTAACATCTTTAAAAGACAAGGAATGTAATATGTCAACATATACTGTCTCGTTCAAAAGAAACTACAGGAGACGTATATTATTGTCATGAATATATATACTGACCATTTGATTAATTACCTGATTTGAAATCTGCAAACAGCATGGGAAAAAGATATGTTTATCCCAAATGCCGTATAACATCTGCATAATTATAATAAACTATGCATTGTATGCAAATGTGAAGTTTCAGGGACATTCATTTTTTTCTCTTGTCCTTCATTGTGTGCCGCTATAGTTATGGCATCTAAGCGAATTAGTCAATATGTTCACAATTTAATCCCCCAGAACAAGACTGGATCCTTACTGGATATAATGGACTTCTCCTGCAAAATGTTTTAATAAAACAGGTGTGACTGCTTGTTTGTTTCAATGTGGGACAGTAAATCCAAGGAGATGATCAATGTAGTCTACCTTTGGAGATGTGAACGACAAACAACAATTCAACACAAAGGAAGAACCATCAGCAACATTCAGGTGTATGCACTATCAGTTCCGTGGCCCTATCAATCAAGCAACCAGGTGAGAGCACTGTAAACACTCCAAACGCTCCCTGGGAGTCTATTCTCAGAATCACAATACAATGTCACACACCACTGCCAAATTCCTGTCAGTTTTGCAAAAGGGAAGGGAGGGGAGGAGGGAGGGAGGGACGACAAACACAATGAGGATCCCCATTGAGAGCTGGCCCTGGACCAGGTGTGGATGAAAGACAGAGAGAGAGAGAAAAAAAAACAATAACGAACGGGACAAGGAGACAAACAACTTTGGTGATATCGGGGTGGCTGGTTGCTATGCATATGCCCTGCCAAGGACCCCTGCTCATCTCCATATTGTCTGGTAGGATGCAGCCAGTTCCTAAGATTTGACATTTAAAGGTGCAGCGGGCTCAACCTTTTAAATCTGACCGGGACATGTCACTGTAAACTCAAGCTGGTCCCCTCTGCTCTCCTGTGGGTGTCAGTTGATTTGAAATATGCCACGTGCATCACCTCTGCCCCAGAGTGGATGCCTGGGATGATGTGGATGAAATTGCAGACAAGCCCAGTGATGCATGGATCTCCCGCATGAAGTAGGCCTTGTCACTCAGAAGTGTTATAAAACTGAAAGCCCCTTTAAAATTATTTTGGCTGAAGTGGGCAGTGGCCATTAGCACAATAAATAAATGAATGTGTACTTAGACCTAACTGTATGGTTCACAAAAATGAGCGATGTATATATAATCCTGCAGATAATAACAGTCTTTAATCTTTCTTTCACCTTTTGGAGGACTGAGGTAGCAATGAGTGGTTTTTAAATCTTGCCGATGCTTTCCCCATACGTAAAAGAAAACTCCAAATGGAAATTTACTCGGCAAATGGGAAAATTACTATTGAATTGTAAAAAGAGAGCCTTGAGCCTTGTACATGTACGTAAGTAATGAACACAGTTGAATGCGTAAAACTTACACATACATGGAAAATTTGCTACTATTGCTAAAATTACATACGCTGAAATCATCACCTGGTGTATGTTACATTGCGTCTTGAGGTGTTAAAACTCAACTAAAAAAAGAGAGTCTTGATACTCTGAAATCTGCAATACATTTTTGCTGAACAAAACAACAACAAAATGGACAAATAAAAATCAACGATTTGCCCAGACTCCAACTTTAATATTTCAGATCCATCAGGCAGCCCATATGTGCATAACCTCCACAGTTTTGATTTCAGCAATGGACACACTTGAGCAACAACTTCACCGCATCGACGTGCAATTTGCGCCTATGTTTCCCTCCTCCGTGCTGTCGAATTTTTGGCACGGCCAGTGGCAGCACGACCCGGTGCCAGATCGGCATATTGCCGAAGACACAGATAGCAGTTATTAAAACGCCCCCGTAGGTGTTGACTGATGTTAATAACTTGCTCCGGCTGCAAAAAGCTCTAATGTGCAGGCTCATGCATTTCCGGAGCTCTCCTGCTCCCATTTTTTTTCTTTTGGCTCCACCAGAATCGAGGTTAAATTATTTGGTTTCAGGCAAGCGATATTACTCACTGGGTCCCACTTGCATTCACGAAACACAGGTGAGGCTGCCCTTAAAGGTTGACACTGCCCTCTCCGTTCACCTGAGCCAAAAAAAACCTTGCCAAATCCATGCCTGTAATAATCACTCAACGTGAATGGTTACCGAACAAAAATTCATAAAGCTACATCACTCATGAGACAAGATCGTCTCTCTGTATGCTATAAAGCACGCACGCATTGCACTCGAGATCTGACTTGCAATATGCATATAAACAGAAATCTAAAAAGAAAACTGCAGTTTTATAAAAATGTTGTTATTCCATTACATTAATCATTAATCTTACCCCTGGCCAACCATAATAGCCACATTGTCACATTAAATCTAACACCCCTATCCCAATGTTCCAATAATGAGCCACTAAATACCAGTCATTATCATTGCCGTGCAGTGCCCAGACAAATTTTACCATATCGGAAATCATAACTGAACCCAATTTACATTTAACAATTCCACAACCAGCTGATGGACCGTGACATATCCACACTGTTAACAATGCCTTTAGCAACCAGCAAAAAAACCTTGATGCAAGTCATAAACTCAGCAAAATTCCATTAGAGTAAATTCAAATTAAAAATAAAATATGCTGGGTAAATCCACTATCACATCGACATGACAAAAAGCTATTGGCTGTTTCTTTTTGAGATGCAAATTATAGGAACAGGACAAAACTCTATCATATTGATTCTTTCAGCCTAAAACAGACCATGGATTTTGAAATGAAAGGCTAAAAACAGACCTTTGAGATAAATGCAGGGAAATACAAGCTGTCTAGTGATTCACATGTATGCATTAAAAATTGGAAGCACATTATTAAAAGTCTGCTATTGAATTTTTGGAGTACCAGTAACTTCATTATATTCAAATGAAACAAATAAATGCCAATAATGCATTAAATGCTCTCCCAACACCGCTGAAGTGTCCTCTTCCTGCATCAGTAGTGAGTTAAAAAAAAACAACAATTTGGAACGAGCATTAATTCGTAAGCCTCGTTTTTGCTGTTTTGTTGTGATGT